AACTCTTTGTATCCTGAATTTTCCCATCTGGGGCTGCCTCTCAGGAGGAAAACTGTTTGGCAGAGCCACACAGACAGTTTCTACTTGTGATTGTCCTTGGTGTGCAAAGAGCCACTATTTTTTTTGAGAGGACAAAGATCAGCTCAGCAACTGGAGGCAGCTGAAACCTGTCTGCAAATGAAATGACTGGGTTCAAGCAAAAGCACTCAGTATATCAGATTCTTTTTTCAGAGGAAACACGATGTGAGGGTGTGCTGGAGTGAAAAGAGATGAAGCAAGGGAGCAGGAAGGGGTTACTTAAGAGGTGCATCCTTTCAATCCTTGCAGTGAGGAAGTTTAATCCACTAAACAAACACAAAGTGTTTCTTACCTACATAGATGTTCCAGAATTCCTCCTAAAGGTAGGTGTGGAAAATGGAGAATAAAAGAAAACAGAAAGAGTTGAATGAGAATTACTAAATTCCTCAGAAAAATATTAGACCTTTCATACACAGGATATTTGCAGCTAACAATTGTTAAAAGAAATATTTAAGTGATAGGTACATATCTTGCAGCCTGCTATTGCCATTTAATAACTTAAAACCATATTGCCCAGCTGTACAGAAACAAGTCTCATGCATTTTTCAGAAATGTCTGGAAGTCCTTAGAGATACCACAGTGTGACTCAGGATAAGCCACTTCATTTCTTGCATAACTGTGTCTTTCTATCAGTTTTGACTGAATTTACTTATTTTCCCATAATGCCAAATTTTCAGTCTCCATCCCCACCCCATACTCTCATCAATCACAACCTCATAAATCCTGACATTTAAAAATATTTTGTCTGATTTGTGTTCTCCTTTCCCTCTGCACTGAGGAATCCAGGTATGCTGTCTGTCCAAGACAGTCCTTTCCAGTGACATCTGGTCACCAGGTAGAACAGGCTGTGCTGGTTCTGCCATAGTAAGTCAACATTTATGCTCTGAAGTACACTGGCAATGCACCCATGACATCTCAGTGCCACTCCAAGAACATTCTGGCCATCAAGTAATACTAAAGGGAAATGAATCTGGCCGTAACTCCAGTTCCAGGGTTGTTCTTAACAGCCACATAGCTACAGTTGATGTTCCCTATTCTCCTCCACTACTAAGTCACTTCAAGTTTTAAAATACCACCTATTCTACTGACTCCAGTCTCCACAGCTGCCCCATTGCTTTAACTTTCCCTTGAGCTTGGGAACAGATCACATTTCTGTCTTAAGCAAGCCATTGGAGTAAGGTAGGTGACACAAAAGTCACAGATACAAACTTCATTCCAGTTAACAGTAAGGTATTTAAGAACTGTCCACAGTATACATTCTCTCAATTCAGATAAAGATGATAAGCACTTCAAAACTGCTTAAGTTCAGTTAAATTCCCCCATGAAGTTCCATGTCAGCATTTGCTTTCTCAGACTTCCAATGGATTGTCTCGACCATAGTCATGGCACTCAGCTATGCCACCCAGATAGGGTGAACATATTTCCAACACTGATAGGTAGCATCAAAGCCTTTAAAGGTCAAATGCCTCTCAGTGGCAATTAAACAGATCAGAACAAGTAAAAGGATGGAGGCTTTAAGATGGGCTGGCAGACATTTATGCCTTAGCAATTCCAACCACAATCAACCACTATTTTTTCTTTGTGTTAAGGGATTGTGAATAACTTGTGAGTTTTGATGCCCAGCTCAAAAGACTTGAATGGTAATTTTTAAACATGAAATGTACAGATCTATGTTTCATATTATTTCATCCTTACAGTTTTCTCATTGTCTTCAAAAGCTTCTCTTGCTTCTTCTTTTGAGCAGCGCTCCTCAACGCATTCTCTTTCAATATTCCCTTTCTTCAGCTCCTCTAAGAAAGAGTTAGCACGTTTTGTTCTTTCCAAGAACTTGTCGGCATTTTCTTTCTTGATGAATACTAGATAAAAGAGAAAAATGATACAGATGGGTAACATTTGGTGGTGGTAAAGAGTCATTAGAAATAAGTGAGGTAGAAACAAAACCAAAACAGACCCTTTCACCCCTCTACCAGTACATAACGTTACCTGTAAAGTTAGTCCTCACACAGGCTGATACATTCCAGGATCTCAGAGCAATCTCTCTCTGAGAATCAGTAGCCCCAGGACAAAATGTAGGTCCCCAAAATTCTCTCCTACTCCAGGGAGATTGCATTCCTCAATTTTGTTTTAAAGTTGACCATCAGGCAACATAACTGCCTGATCTAGGGGCTTGTGATGCAGAAACTAAATGCCACACAAACTCAAGACAAAGCAGTGTATCTAGTAACAGACCGGAAGAGCCCATGTATGAGTTCTATTGCCCTTCACCACCCTAAATCCTACTGTGCTGCACTGGGATCCTCTGCCCTCTTAACAGCACCTCTCAAGTGCCTGTAGAAATGTTCCTGCTTTACTGATATGTGTACTGATAAGGCAGCTGCCTTCTAAGATTTAACAAAGGCAGAAGTAAATGAACATCAGCTTTAGGAGGAAAGTACAGCCTGAAGTCGGTTTGCTGAGTTGTTTTTATTTCTTAAAAGCTTGGTGTGACAGAAGCCTAAGACCTGCTGCTTTCAAGTTAAAGATGCAGGTAGCTGTTGATTTAAGCTGGAGAGTCAGAGGTGTTGGACTCATCTCAGGCATGTGGCTATGTGAGCAATAGCATTATTCTCCAGTGACTTGTGCACATATTACCAGGCAGGAAAAACAAAACCAACACTGGATGAAATAAGTGGCCAATTACTCTGTAAAAAGCATATGTTCTAGGCAAGTGTGAAGAGTTTGGAAGTTGGCTTTTAATCAAGTTCTACCATCTGGAATTTACACCAAAAAAATACTTTCCAACCACAGTGTGGAAGACTGTGCTACAGATGGGACTCAAGGACAATGCCTTATGCTCAGTGCACAGCTTGCACGTACGTTCAGGAGCACCCTTCTTGCAGCTTAATTCAATAATAAATAAATTGCTGATAGTAATCATATACCCTAATATCCTCCAAGTGAACGGAGAGGTGACTTACTCTGCTTTCATTGAAATTGGTGGATCAGCCAAACGGAGACAAATTCCGTTTGTGCTATTTATATTAAGCAATCCCATCCTTAATTTCAAGCCCTGCTTACTTTAAAACAGTTCCTCTCAAGGAAGGCTTGCAGAAAGTGCTTGTAACTTGCAGCTCAGTGACTGTTAGTTCATTCACCTGCTATCTTATTTGCCCTTAAATCCCTCTCTGCAGTAACAGGGAAGTGACAGGACACAGCTGGTGGGGTTATCGCCTCTATATTCCTTTGCTTTCACACTACCCACATAAGAGGATGTTTTTGTAAACTTGAACTAGCTTATCAGTCTTCTGAGGTTGGTCGTTCTCTTTCCCAAGCTTTCTATCGTGCTTCCTTCTTCAGAGACACCAAGGAGCAACAGGCACTGGATAACTGAAGCAGGATGTTCCAGAAATATGCTAAAGACTTGTTTTAAATTGTAAGTGGCCTGAGTCACCGAAGGCAGAGTTAACAACTTTTGAAAGGCCACTTCTTGATGCTGCCCTGGACTTTGGCATTGAGCATGGTGGTGGCACAAACAGAGGAGTCACCTCCACGGCCAAGCACACCCAACCAAGGCTTGGCCAGGCTTCCCTTCACATACGTGAGCACCTCAGGGTGTGAGGGCAGCTGTGCTCCAGTTGCAAACGGTGGGGAGGGACAGCAATCCCACTTTCCGGGGGAAAAAAAGGGAAGACGAAGCATCCCAGGAAAGTCCCCGGGGACGGCAGCGGGACTTAGCATCCCTGGGGTCTGGCCCCCCGAGATGCCCACAGCAGCTCCCTGTCCCCGAAGCGCACCTCCCGGCGGCTGCCGGCGCTCTCCCGGTGAGCGCCCCCGGCCCGCAGCATCGACCTTTCACCGTCTCTCGGCCCGGTAGCTCCTCCCCATCCCCGAAGACTGTTCCGAAGAGAGATTCCCCCATCCCAAAAAAATGAGAAAGGTGCCGCCTTACCGCCTTCCTGAGCGCGGAGCTGGCCCGGCAGCGCGGCGCAGAGCAGGAGGAGCAGCAGGCGGCCGGCCATGGCAGCGCGGAGCGCCCCGCTGATGGCCCCCGGGGACGGGGCACGGGAGGGACTGACGGGACGGGACGGGACGGGACGGGACGGCGGGAGCCGAAGTTTTCACCCCCTAGGGCGGGGTGACACTGAAGCGGCGGTGCTTCTCCCGGCCCAGAAATAGCGGAAGCCTTCTCCCGGCCCAGAAATAGCGGAAGCGCCGGGGCAGGGGGAAAGCCGCGGCGGGATTTCTCACTCGGGGGGATGAGACTTTTCTTTCTTTTCCGTTTTTTCTTTATTTTTTCAAAGCCCAAGGCCGCAGCCTTTTTTTTTTCTCTCTCTCTCTCTCTCTTTTTTTTTTTTTTTTTTATTTTTTTTTTATCTTTTATTTTGGAGGAGGAGAAGTGACTCGCCACTTCAATAAGCTGGTGCCGCCCTGGCCCGGCTCTGGGCTAAGCCGGGATCTTACCTCAAAACAGCCCAGCACCCTTGGCAGCTCCCACCCGCGTGTCCCACATCCCAACCCCGTAAGCCGATGGTTCCGCACTTTGGATCAGTGACCTCGGCATGGTGCTCGCTGGGAGCTGGCCTCAGTCTCCCCTATCTTGTGGGGGAGTTCATAGTGCGCTGTGGAGCCCCTGTCTTTGGTACTTCCAGAGCCAGCTGCCAGGTCTCCTTCATCTTCTTGGCTTGCTTAAACAGGCTGTTATATTAAAAATATATCTAAACCCCAGCTTGTTCTGAAAAAGTCACTGTGCAGCTATATTATTACTACTGACTTCTTTCAGCGTTTTACCTGTTTTTCTGCAAGATGATGATTTGTTCATAAATGTTAGTATTTACATTGGAATATTACAGAGGAGAAATCTCTTTATGGACCACGGAAAACTCAAACTGTTTTATCTTCAAGGGTCTTCAGGGATGATTTTGCACTCATCTAAATGACTTTATTTACTGGCCACTACTCCTAGTCACTTTCCTCCCTGGGATGGGACTTCTTTTCGGAGTAAGGATATGTTTGCATACTGTAAGAGCTCTTGTTTCTCAGCTCTCTGAAATTTGCTGCTTTTCCCAGTTCAGTTCACTATTTAAATGAACAGTATACCATTCTTCTGTGTCAGTAAAACAGGTTATAGGATGTTTAGTATTGCATGGTTTATGTGCCAGATGATATCAATGTTTTTCCCTAATAATAGAGTAATATCAACTGTAATTGTCCTACTCTCTGATAAGGTTTTGTGATTGAGTTGATATTCCACATTATTTAAATGATCTTGGGTATAAGTTTTGCATAAGATTGCTAAACCGTTTTCTAATCTCCTAATAATTTTTATCTCCCTTACCTTTTCATGGTTTTCATGCTTAGATTAGAAGGTATATTTTCAAATTTTATAATTGATAGTGTTTTCAGAGTGTTTCAAGTTCTACCATTTATGCCTTAAGATTTTAGTGAATGGTATTTGGTCAGCGTTTTTCATATGGTCAGACAATTATTTTATTCTGACTTTAGATCTCAGTATAGAGAATACAGTTTAGATTATACTGGACGACAAACAAAACAAATGTTCCCTTTCATTTGTGCTCTATTTATCAACAAGAGCAAGGCAAAGATAAGATTAAATCAATGGTATTCTTCACCACCCATAAATATAGGGTTAAATATTGCATTTTATAGCCCTACAGCAATAATACTTGATGCAAGAAGACTGAAATAAACTTTTCATAGCAAACCTGTAAATGTGGAATCAACCTTTTTCCAGCTTTCTTGTTCTGGAGAATGTCTAAGGTTCCTATCCCTCAAAGCTCGTTGCCACTGCAACTGTTGGAGAAAGCTACTTTAACACAATCTAAAAGAAACATTTTTTCTACTTTTTCTGCTATTTCATAATTATATTACAGGATCCGTATCATAGGAAGTTGTGAAAGCCAGACACATGAATGTGTTCAAAGGAGATTGCATACAATTACAGACAGCAGGTTCATTCATGACTGTTCAGTCTAATGCAACTTCTGACTCAGGAAGTCTGTACTTCACTGATTACCAGAAGCTGAGAGGATAGCTGGAGGAAGGATTATGATGTATAGCTGACAGTCTTTCTCTCAGCGTCTAGCTGTGTCCTTCAGCAGAAATGGATGCAAAACGAGAGGGACTTTGAGTTTGATTTGTTACGGTTCTTCTGTGCCTGCTTGATAAGATACAAGTTTACTAACAATATCGATAAGGAATGTATTTTGTGTATTCAAGTAGGCATTGGGCTTGCTTCGAATCATTAATAGTGGTGTGGGTATCAGGGGTACCACATATCTAAGATAATGAAGGAATGCTTCCACAGGAAAATGGCACAGAGTGATTGGGGGACAATAGCACACTCTGGAAATGCTCTGGCTCAACATCTTTAGTCCATGTGCTTCTTCAACCAGTTGATGTATTTGGACACCCTTGTGTAAACCCCATAGTTGCCTTCAACAGCACAGCCCTTTCCCCAGCTGACAATCCCAGTCAGAAACCAAGTGTTCTTGTATTTTGTAGCATGAGGACCACCACTGTCTCCCTTGCAGGCGTCCTTAGCTCCAGACAGGTCTCCTGCACAGAACATGTTCTCTGTGATATTTAAATTGGTCTCCTTTTCACATTCCTGTGTCTTTACGCGTGGCAAATCAACTCTCATCAGAACAGAAGAGGTGGCACCTCCATCTAATAGACGTCCCCATCCACTTACTGTGGAGAACTTGATAGAGGACAATTCATACACAGCAAACCGTTTCTCAGGCAAACATATTGGCACCACATAGTCAGTGAGATTCATCGGTGTTTCCAGACTCAAAAGGGCAATATCGTTATTGACTTGTCCAGTCGTGTATCCTTCATGAATGATCATCCTGGAAACTCCACTTTCTTGCTCAGTTTTCTCATCTTCATTTATTTTGTGTTCACCTGGAAAAAGTTATTAATCACAGGTCATATCAGGGAGCTCCTTGATTCCTTGTAAGTTTAAGGAGATAGAGTGCTTCTAGTCTGACACCTATGAAGGACAATTCCCTTATACTACCAAAGCCTTTAACTCTGGTTTTATCAGGATGAGAAGTTGCCACCACTTTGACAAGATGAGGAGAGGAGAATACATACCCAACCTCACACGAAGCTGGTTAAGGTGGATATAGTCCAAACAGTGAGCTGCAGTGACCACCCATTCCGGGGAAAGCAGGGTACCGCCACACTTTTCTTTATTATCATGCAATATAAGGGCCTGCCAACATAAAGCAAATTTATGTCTTACATAAAATGTGCTTGATCTGAATCTCAGTAGTGATGGGTTTCATATTGGTTTTTTCTGACACTGTATGCAACTGTGTATGAGAATACTGTGCTGACTTTATTGAGAATTTATGAGAGGGAGTCTTCCTAAATTGACATTGTCTCCATCTTGTAGTATGGACCTTGCCTATTATGGCCAAGAGTGTAACCCTGCAAGCTGCAACTATAATTCTTGCCAGCAGTAACGTTAAGGACTAAGGTATCAGAGGACAGAGGTGGCTGTGTTACTACTCTACTCCAATGAAACCAGGCACTCCAAAACAAAGCTAAAATGCTTGACTGAAACAGGTATATCTGCTAGCTATGGACGAAGAGGGAATTCACTTATCCAGACATCGTACTTTTAATTAATTTTTAACATAACAGATTTAAAACAATGAATTTAAGATAGCACTTTTGTAAGGAAGTTAAAAAAATAAAAGCAATGAAAAATTTTTGAAGACTCACTTGCCATGGACATTCACCTGGAGGACAGACTAAACCACCTACTATTCTCCCTTGTGCAGTTGAATTTTTTTTTGCCAGCACTGGTATTTTTCCACATGGGTATTTCACTGGAAAAAAAAATTTAAAAAGAAAATAACAACAGAGGGCAGCAAGTGTGATTTTATTGTACTGAATTCACAGCAAAATTTCAGTGAAACTGTTAGTTTTGAGAACCCATACCCAGACTATAAATCAGTGTTTCAACTAAGGTAAAGCAGCTCAGCAAGTAAGTAGTCTTTTTGTTTGGAAGCAGCCAGAAATGCTCTAAGAAATAGAGTGCAGGCCTATACATTATCACTGACACATATTCACTTACTACAGGACTTTGCAAACACTATATCTGCTTAAGATATATCTCAAGAGTATGAGGTAGGCTGCAGGCTGGAGTGAAGAAGTGACTCTGTAGTCTACACATTTTCAGTGACCCCGCTGACTTTAATTCAGTTGTACCAAGTGCCCAGCATCCATGGTATGGTCAGAGAGAGGCTTAAGCATGGGGTGGGCAGCTTGCCATCCCTTGTTTGGACAGACCCAAAGATGTCCTGAGAGCAGACACTGTGTCTTCTGTATGCCTCTCACAGACTGTACCTAGTTTGCTTGTGTCCAGAGAATCCTTGATTCTTCTGGACTTCACATCTCAGTCAATCTAAGGTCTGTTTTCACTCTGAGCAAGAATGTGAAGACTAGCAGTAAGAGAATCAAATCTTGACTGAACGTGTGACTGAGCTGCAGTGCAGAGGAAGCCTTGGTGTTTTCAGTACATCTTCCACCCAACTGAATTTTCCTTTAAAGAAGGTCTACCATTGGGGTTTTTTGTGTGCCATATGTCTGTGATGTAACAAAACACCATCCCTTCTGTCTGGCAGTCACACTGTGATAATGCTGTGAAGAGGAGTGCTCTCTTTCTACCACTTTGGGAGCCAGGGCTTCAGCTATATGAAGACAGCATCAGCCTTTTACAGGTACAGGCAAGGTATGGAGAAACAGGAGTAGCTTTTTGATGGCAGCTGGGGAAGGATCAGAACAGATGTAACACAGACCCATAGACTCTAACTTTGTATGCAGGACAGCAGTGCAAAAGGGCCAATGTCCCAAAAGAAGAAGGACCACTGTGAGAGATGACAAAAGGACTGGCAGCCTGGCAGTTGCACAGTTTTCTCTACTTGCAACACGTGGTCAGCTTTATGGCTGTTTTGGTCCCCAAGAAGCAAGCAGCAATAAATACATCGTCCTCAGAGGGGAAGACACACTGAAAAGCCTGTGGGGAATATTGAATTCTTTGTTCTCAGCTTTTAACAAAAGCACCTTCCCCACCATGTGGTATTGCACGATCTGTTAATAAGGGATAAGCAGATTAGTAGACATTTTTTTCTAATGAAATTGCTGTTGTTGACAGCTATGTTGTCATCAGCTCTCTGCATGAGTGCTCCATTGAGGTGTGTTTGTAGGGGGGCATCACCCCTCAGAATTACTTAGCATGCTCCCTACAGCTCTATCTATTATGTTGTTATGTTCATTTCCCCAGGGGTCTCTTTTTTCCCCTCTAATAAAGTAATTCAACTAGGCATCTGCAATAGAGTCAGATGCCAGCTTATGTATTGGAAAAATAATTAACTTGCACTACCCTAGTCCCAGTTGAAACTGACCTTGTCAGGTGAGAGAAATATCTAGCCACAGTGTCTATAGTAATACCAAAAATGTATTATTCCTACTAAATAGGAAAAGAAGAAAAAGAAGAAAAGGGAAGGAAGGAAGGAAGGAAGGAAGGAAGGAAGGAAGGAAGGAAGGAAGGAAGAAAAAGAAAATAACTGGGTTTTTTTTGTTTTTAGTAGACCTCTTCCTCTCTTGACCCTTGCACTGAAATAAATATAGTGATAAAATCCAGCCACAATTTCAGATTGAGAGACAACAGTAAAACAATGCTGCCCATGAGATATAGCTTACACTGTGGGTGTAAGCTAAAACAAAGAAGGACTTGCGAGGCTCAGAGCCCCTCCATTTACCAGAAACCCCTCAGCCTGACTCCAAATCCCTGACCACTTGCTGCCATGAGCTTGTCTCCACTGCTCGGTTCTTCTCTACTTGACTAGTGGTGAGCATGCTCTCAAAGGAGGAGACAGGTTCATCTCTCTCCTAACTCTGAGCAGATAGGATGTTCAAACTTGAATCTCCCATCTCCCAGAGGAGTGAAAAGAGAGGTTCAGAAGGCTCCCTGCTTGGTGTGCACACTGACAGCTGCTTTACTGGGATGCCTAACTTGCACCAGAAGCCTAAATGTACTATTTGGGACTCTGCCTGTGAAGAAGAGGTGGGGAGCTGATATCTAAGGGTTATACCTTGTGCCTCCTGATGTGCACATGTTGAAAACCTTTCTTCCAGAGCTGGCTTAGACGTAGCATCAGGCTAGTCTTACCTTGGGGGATGCAGGACACGCTGTCACTCGCTAAAGTGTAATCATCTGCACAGAAGCACACTCGTTTTCCGGACTGCTCATCAGCACAGAACTGTTCACAGCCACCATTGTCAAAAATGCACTTGAGTTTGTCAGCCACAGCTAAAGTCAGACAAAGAGCATTTAGGTTTCAAGACAGATTTTTGTGCTTAACATGAATCAATTGCATTTGAAATGTTGACAGAGAAGCAAGGCAGCAAAGTAGATTTCTGTGATTTATGTAGACTGACTGCATCAGAAGCATCTTCCATTGTGAAAAGCTAGGTAAGCCTGGATCTCCAGGAATTAGGGAATAAAAGGCTATGCTTAAGAAACATACACCTAAAATTAAATCAGTCTGCATTTATACAGTAGCTGAGCTGTCTAAAGTACGAAGGTGTTGCAATTGTGTGTTAGCCATCGTAATAGATGACTGAAAAATTATAACTATATTGTATTTATCCATTTAGCAGAAGGATGCTCTGGGATTACTGTTGAGGCTGCCTGGTTAGACTTAATGAGTGTCTAGCCCTTGCTTGGACTCTGGGTGTTCTGAAGGTATAACACTCAGTGTGAGGTGTCCACTGAAACCAGTGGAAATATGTATATTAACTTCATTAACCACTGGACCCATCCCTTCAGGCTTTGTACCATGCATATGCAGTGTAGTTCTTATTCACATAATACATCAAGCTTCTAAGTCAAAGTAACTTCAGAAGTTGGGTAAGAAAAAAATTCCTCCTTTTCTCTCAGATGGTACACAAAAGGCAATTTTTATTTTCTTTTACAAAGTCATTATAGGGCAGTAACTATATTGCTGCCTTTCAGTGCCTGACTGCTAGGTGGTTAATTCCATCAGGCGACACCACAAGCACTATGAACAGTAGCTGTCATAGCTAGAATGATGCAGAATCACAGAATCATAGAATATCCTGAGTTGGAAGGGACCCCGGAGGATCATCAAGTCCAACTCCTGAATGATAATGATTGTTACTACTTATCTCAGTGCCTTGAATTTGAATAAATAATGGCATTTTTATTTCGTTATGTTATGCCACAAGCTGACCTTTTTCACAGCTCTTGCCCTCGTATTCAACAGGACAGCGACAAACGTAATCCTGAAACTGGTCATCACAAATCCCGCCATTCTGACAGGGGTTGGAGTCACACTGGTTAGGGTCTGTAAAATATTCAGTGTCAGTCCACCTCATGCAAAGAGCTGCAGCAGTGGAAGAGTTTCACAGCTGTTAGAACATCCTGAATAATCATACCGGAATAGATGTGCCAGAACTCATTCTAGAAGAAAAAGATGCGAGATTCAATTAAAGAAAAATTAACTCAAGTTATGTCTTACTGCTCTTGTCACACAGGAGGGGTTACAGAAAGCCAGACTGATGCCCCTTCTGCCTTTATAATTCGTGACAGTTAATATCCATGAAATACCCTACATAATTTTCTAGATTGTACGTTATTTTCATATACCAGTAGCAAAGGGGACTCAATTACAGACACAAATGGGTTACCCATAAGTAACCTCTGTATAGTTGAGGTGGGATTGTCTGAAGAATATATTGCACAATACAACAATTTAAAGTATTGTCAGGGCACGAATTTGGGGTTTGGGGAGATGACTCTGAGAGCATTCCCTAGATGGATACTGCCAAGGATGGCCTATGCAGTGTGCCTGTAACTCACTGTTGATGTGTGTCTACCTATAGATACAAGACAAAGATGCAAATAGCAGAACACTAACTGCTTTTTCTGCTCTCATGGTTTAGAATGTCAAAGCAAACCCTTGAGTAGGGGAAGTCCTTATGACAATGAGTGCTCACTCATCCAGGCCCATTTTACTTACTGTCCTTGCATCATCCCGGTAAATCTCTCTTGCTTCCTCATAGGAACACTTTTCTTCCATGCATTCTCTCTCTAGTGACCCCAGTTTTATCTCTTCAAAGAAGCTGTTGGCTCGTCTTTGCCTTTGCAAAATGCTGCTTGCCTCTTCCTGCTTTAGAAAGACTGAAAAACAGTGGCATGTTCTGTTTGTCATACAGCTGTGCTTGCCAGACAGAGAAGATCTGGGGACAATTTCCTCTGGAAGCTTTTCTGCTTTCCAAGGTTTTTTATCTGAGACACTTTAGAAAAGAGATGGGCAAATGTGAAGGAGCCTCCTTTCTGTTTTGCCTTACAGATAAAGTGACAACACATGAATTTTACAGAGCCCAGAGCTTAGGAGAAGGTGGCATGTTACAACAGTGTTGTATGTATGTGTGTTGCATGTACGCCAGTGGCTCCTAAGGTACTGTTGTACGTCACACGCATCTTGACATTTGCAGTAGTTTCTTTGAATTGTAGCAGCTACGAAGCCTGTGTCACTTTATCTAGTACCAATGTACATGGCAAAACCTTATTTTTCTGTACATGCTACAGTCATTTGGTGACAGGTGGACCACAGTCATCCCTTCAGCCACAGTCACATGTTATTTCACACTCCTTCACTTGTTGGACCTGAAGAAGGAACTTATCCCACCACTAGTAAACCACAATTTAAAAATCACTGCTTTAATATATTATCTTTAGTTTTTTGTGGAAAAGCCTACGTTAAGGTACATAGGAAAGCTGGACAGTGCTGATTACTTTTCCTAGTGGAGCCTGTAGATGGCTCCTAGCTTCTGTCAGCACTATAGACCACAGCCGCAGAGGGGTCTTCTCCTTGTGTGGCTATGCCATGCTTTGGGAAGACATTGAGTACACAGGTTTGATAGCAGGCATCAGCAGAGCTCATTTCCTAGAGCTACATCAACTTGCAACTGACAGAAACGTGCACTGAAAGCACACTTCACCATGCTGACCTGTTCCTCAGCCTTAGGATATAAGCACACCACACAGCTATGCCCAGTATAATTCAGGATAAGGAATGAGAATTCTCAGTGCTACGGTGTACTTTTTCTCCATGTACTACAAGAACAAGTCTTGAAATTATCAATTTTTCTTTTTCCTTTATGTCAGTAGGGGAGCTTCTGGAGTTTCATGACAACAACTTAAATTTCAGCACTTAAACTATTTCACGTGTGATTGTGGGTAGATTTGGGGATCAAGCTTGATGTGTGTCACCTGCCTTTCCCCAGGACATTCTCCACTACATGACCCCTGAAAGAATAGGAGTTACATTCTACCTTCTGGAAGGGCCCTGAGGGATGCTGAAGGACAAGACTCATGTGTGTCCCCATCAACATACACACAAACATAAATGCTGAGAGGGTTTATTCCAGTCTGGTGAGGCATCTTCATAAATGTGTCTAATCAGAATATTTGCTGAATTACATGCAAAATAGTGGTAATTTTTCTCTATATTTCAAAGTTACTTGAAGGGATAAAGTATTGTGTGGTGTGCACTGAATGTATCCTAGGGTGCTTAATAAATATTTGATCGTTATAGGAATGTCATCTGGATCTTTCTGCCGTGATTTCAAAGTCAGGCTGTATGCACTTAATATGGCTTTCCTTGAGGGCTTTTAATTAACCTTATGCTGCAGATACATGGCACATGTATCACTGCATGGACATAGACTCTAATGGAAGAGCGAACCTGGGTGTATGGCTGGGAACATTCACCTGTTCTTATTTTGGTATTCTCCACTTATTTGCATTGGAACACGTTTAGCTTTGCTACATATTTTTCTGCCTTTCCTCACTGCAACACAGGAGACCCAGTCAATGGCTAACTGGGAATCTGAAAGCACTGGATCTACTTTATTACTATGGGAGCTGATTTTAAGACACATACTGGAGCCACTGAAGCCACCACCTCTTCTCTGCCTTCTACTGCTGCTGAAATAGGGTGGATCCTCACCTCCTTAATTACTCATCAGCTGAATGACAGGCTATTGATGCTTTGCTTTGAGAAATGTCCCAGTTCAATACGATAAAACAATAAATCACAGTTCCTTTCTTCATGCAGTGGGCAGACAGCTGGTGGTTTGCCCGCTATCTGTGCATCGAGATAATACATTCATTTAGCAATCTAGAGGTGCTTTTCCTTAATTGGCAGAAAATGTGCATGGAACCATCACACTGAGAGCAAACAAGAACTTTAGAATACCACAGGCACAGCCGGAGACAGGAAAAACAAGCAACTCAAAACTTGCAATGGAAATTATGTCTCGGTAACGGGAAAGCAGTCCGTTGCCAGTAAACAGAATTACAGCCATATCCTGCAACGTACCTGCATCCAGAGAAAGAGGGATCAGCAGCAGAAAGCAGAGAAACAAAGCCACACACTGCCTGGAAATCATGATGAACCCTATGAGCCAGTGTCCTGGTAGTGTATTGACATTTCAGCAAGGACTGTTTGGACAAACAGCTCAACTTCAAATGCTTGGAGCCAGAGGAGGGGCCGGCGAGTTGTGGAAACAGCAAAAGATCCATGACAGCCTGGAGAGCTGAGCCAAAGGATTTGCATGTGCCCTTTTCACATAAGCAGGGAGCTTGGTTTTGAAGCGTGCTCTCCTGACCTGTGCAAAGGCTATGCTGATTACACAGACTGCTACCCCTGGGCCTTCATTTTCCATCTAACACACCTTTTTCATGACAAACAGAAATGCTGGGACCCTGCATCCATAGGACAGACATTAACTTGGCCCTGTAGCCTCACATGCAGAGAGCAGTGATGTGATATTTATCTTGCATGGGCAGTCAAGATACAGCCTTTCAGTGCTTTGGAGTATGATGGAACCACTGCCATCTGTCTTTTCCCATTTCTCTATCACCAGCTGAAACTCTGTGCTTGTGCCAGAACTTGCTTGGAGACACTAATTAACCAGCAAGAGACATCCTACGCTGTTTCTCTCCATCTTTACTGCCAGACCCATGTAGCCTGCACAAGCTGGAGTAGCTGGAAGAGGTGCCGAGCTGATCCACGTTGTACTTTATTACTAACAACAGGGCTTTCAGGAGCTACTCTGCAGACAGTGTTTTATCTGGAACATAAGCAGTCCTCTGATTTAATGGAAATCAATTAATGGCATCAGACTGGAGAGCCGACAACATTCTTGGGGAAATATTTACTTAAGATAGCAGCAAGGTAAAGAGCATGTTTGTCTATGAGAAGTGAAGCGTTGCCTAAAGGCAATGTGTTTTCCAGGCTGTTCTGCCCTTCCTGTGTGGAAAGGAAAGAGGGTCACCCCTGCATCTGAATGCTACAGCAAAGGAAAGCAACAGCTGGATTTTCACTTTGCTCCAACATTCAGCATAACTTCCTGCAGAAGTCATGACTGCTTAGGAAAGTCAGGCTCCTGGCTATTTGCATGCAGTCGTGTTGTTTAGTGGTGGTGCACATAGCTGGATGTTCTGTTCTGCTTCAGAACCACTTTCCCAAGAGGCAGCATCCGGGCACTTCTCTGGATCACAGCCTGGCTAATTCCCAGCAGTCCTGTTCCTGGGACAGCTGGAAACAGATGGGCAGTGCTGTCCCAGGCAGAGGAAAGAGGCCAGTTACTGGAATACAAAAGAAGCTACAGCAGCCCTATGCTGCTTTTTGGGAACCCTCTCCATGCCTCAGAGCCTGCCAACACAATCCTTGTTAACTTGGCTGTGGCAAGTGAGTTGAAAATAGGAAGTGTGCGTTCAGCTTAGCAAGACCAAACCTAAGCTTGCTGGAGCTGTTTGAAAGTTTCTTCTTGTCTCATCTTCTTGGGGAAAGACCTGGCCCATCTAGTTGAATGAGTCACACAGATCAGAGCATGAAGCTCTGCCTTCCGTACCTGAGGCCAGCCTGGGTCTGCACTTATGCCCTCCACTCCCTGCATTTCCTTAGGCTGGGTGGGTATCTCCCTGCTGGGGTGGGTGAGGTGGCTGCCACTCCACAGTGGCATTGCAGCATCTCTGCACCATAGTACTCCCTTGCTTTCTTCATAATGTGCAGATCCTGTACATCCTTTAGGACTGATGCAGTATTTTCATTCTGTCTTCCTTCCTCTCTTGGCATCCCTTAAACATGAAAGATTTTGCTTTTATTTCTTGGGAACACTCAGTTATTATTTTTAGAGCCCAGGAAGGAGACCAAGTGCTGGGAACAAGAGTCAATTCACATGGGGACCATCCTTCTTCCAAAAACAATTCATGCAAGTAGGCTCCATCAGGGATGAACCTGAGGAGGGTCACCACGGATTCAGCACTCCCAGGACTATGTTACAGATCAAGAAGTTCACACTCAGGGATCTCATCACAAAGGTGTTTCCTACTAACTTCAGCTGGACCAGTTCTTTGCTTAAAGAGCTATGTTTTTAAAGAGCCCTCTTTCCTTTTACTGTCTTAGACCCCAAGGTTCCTGGTTTCAGCTGACAGAGTTAATTTTCTTCTTGGTAGCTGGTACAGTGCTGGGTATTGGATTCAGTATGAGGATAATGTTGATAACACACTGATGTTTTGGCTGTTGCTTACCCTGTCAGAGACTTTTCAGTTTGCCATGCTCTGCCAGTGAGCAGGTGCACAAGAAGCTGTGAGGGAGCATGGTCAGGACAGGTGATCCAAACTGGCCAAAGGGATATTCCATACCATAGGATGTCATGTTTGGTAGACAAACTGGGGAAGTTGGCTGGAAGGGGACAGTTGCTGCCTGGGAATGGGTTGGGCATCGGTCAGTGGATGATGAGCAATTGTATTGTGCATCACTTGCTTCTCTTGGGTTTCTCTCTCTCTCTCTCTTTGTGTCTCCTTTTTATACTGTTATTATTATTATATTAGTATTATTAATATTATTGTATTTTGTTTTAATTATTAAATTGTTCCTATTTCAACCCACAAATTTTACTTTGGTTTTTTGTCCCGATTCTCCTCCTCATCCCATAGGGAGGTGAGCAGTGAGTGAGCAGTTGCCTGGTACTTAGTTGCAGGCTGGGGTTAAACCACAACAGCCCCCTTGGTGCCCAATATGGGGCCTGGAAAGTTAACAACTGATCCAACCAGAGCATATTAAATTAAGTTCATTATAAGCTTTCATTGCATTGGTTTAATAGTGACTGGTCCCAATGTTGGTTTATTTGCCATCAGAGTGGTTGTGCTTGTTCTCAGGGTTGTGTTATGCAATACCTTACTTGCAGCCTTTCCTTGCTGTTTTGGTGTTCATCACCTGTGGGGCCTGGGCTATGGCTGTAATTTTGTTGTACTTCACAGTATTGGCTTACAGTCTGATAGAATTGCTAGTTGTGAAACTAGTCTGATGTGTTCTCAGCATTGGCATGAGCTCTGTATTTCGGGAGCCATCTATTGGGGATTATTAAAAATTACACCTTTACCCTTTTTTCCTTGTGGAACCAATCTATTGAGGAGACTCCTCCCTCCCTCGGTGCCTGCCTGCCTACCTGTCTTCCATCTTCAGAAGCCCTTCAGACTGATTAAAGTAGCATTTGAAAATTTTAAATGTTTTTAGTATCCTTTGAATACCCTTAAAACCAGCCTGGCCCCAAACCCCATGACAGGCACTGCTACTCAAAGGAGGAAGAGAGGGATTCAAATCCCAGCAACAGGCTCTGAAGCTGCTGACATTCTGTTAACAAGCACTGGGGCTACTCACACTCCAGTTTGATTTCACTTGGAGGGGTGTCCAGTACAGCTGAAGCTGACTGACCAGGGGGTGTAAGCACAGGCTTACCATCTGCCATGGACACATCCAGACTGCACTGGAATAGGTTGAAGCTCTGGAACATCTGCAATGTATCGATAATATCGTCATGTGGGATGATACAGCAGAAGAAGTTTTTGAGAAAGGGAAGAAAATAGTTAAATCCTTCTGAAAGGCAGTTTTGCCATAAAACAAAGTAAAGGTCAAGGGATGTGCACAGGAAATTCAGTTTTAGGGAATACAATGGCAAGATGGGTGTTGCCACATCCCAATGGATGTGACCAACAAAATAACAGCAATGTCTCCACTAGCTAGCTAGAAACAAACACAGCTTTCCTAGGTGTTGCAGGTTTCTGGAGAATGCACATCCCAAATTGCAGTCTTATTGTCATCTCTCTCTATCAAGTGACCAGGAAGAAGAATGATTTCAAATGGTTTCACCCTAAGTAACAACAAGCCTTTGAAAAAATCTAGGAGGAGATAGTTCACACAGTAGCCTTCAGTTCAGTGCAAACAGGGCAAGATGTAAAGAATGTGCTTTACACCGCAGCCAGGAAGAACAGTCCTATTGGAGCCTCTGGCAGGAAGCACAGGGGAAACTCAAGGTTGACACTAGAGGATCCAAAGCCTGCTATACTCCAGCTGATAAAGAGACACTGGCAGCTTATGAAGATGTCAGAGCCGCTTTGGCAGTGATTGCTTCTGAAGCACACAGCTCCTCCGGGCACCCCAGTTGCTCATGCTGGGTTGAATGTTCAAAGGGAGGGTCCCCCCTTCCCATCATGCAACTGATGTTTGTGCAGCAGTGATGGAATCAGAACTCGGTTCACCGTGCAACAATCCAAATACCACATGCCATCTTTCCTGCTCTGAAAGACTGTTATGACAGATGGGGACCAAAGTCATGAACTAAATGAACTCAGTGGACTTTTATAAGTATGGTCTATAGACTAAGAGAATGGTATCTGCGTGTACAACTATCAAAAGATGGGAAAAGTGATGGGGTATTTGATAGTGTGGGACTTGGAATGATGTACGTGGTATAGAATATAAAGGGCTAAATACTGTTCTGGTTTCGGCTGGGGCAGAGTTCATTTTCTTCTTAGTGGCTGCTACAATGCTGGGTTTTTTGAATTCATTATGAGGATAATGTTGATAACACGCTGATGTTTTGGCTTTTGCTAAGTAGTGCTTATCAACTAAGTCAGGGACTTTTCAGTGTCTCACACTCTGCCAGTGAGGACCTGCACAAGAAGCTGTGAGGGAGCATGGCCAGGACAGGTGACTCAAACTGGCCAAAGGGATATTCCACACCACAGAATGGCATGCCCATTATATAAATTGAGGAGTTACCTGGAAGGGGCCAATTGCTGATCAGTGATGGAGGGGGGGCATCGATCTGCAGGTGCTGAGTAATTGCATTGTGCAGCACTTATCCTTTCTTGGCTTTTCTCTCTCTGTTACTATTATTATTGTTGTTGTTGTTGTATATCATTATCATTAGTATTACTATATTTTACTTTGTTCCAACTATTGAAGTGTTCTTATCTCAACCCACAAGTCCTACTTTTCTGTTCCTGATTCTCCTCCCCAGCCCACTGGGTGAGCAGCTGCATAGTGGTTAGCTGCTGGCTAGGGCTAAACCATGACACCACCCAGAGGAGCAAACATCAGTTTGCTTTTCTTTCCCAGAAGTGTTTTCTTCCCCTAAGTGTTACTTTGTTTTCCTTCCTGTGTGGTCCT